AATTCTGTTTGAAAATGTATAAGATTTCTAATCTAGATCTTGGGAAATAATAATCTTGGATTTTTCTGTGAAAAATGGCTCACCTCTCTCTGAAGATATATTTCAGCTACACGTATAAATTTACGTATAAATTTCTTAAAGATTTGTTTAAATTCATTTATTAAATGCTTTATATTTATCATACAAATTAAGATACTGACATAAATATACTACTGATGCAAGTGCTACTTTATTTAGTATCAGATACCTTATTATCGTAAGAACGTTGAATTCACTTTGTACAAGAATACTTTCCCTTTATAACAGGATAGAAACTTTTCTGCTGCACTTGAGTAATTAATTTCAGACTGTACATGTCAACTTCAATAAAAATTCTGTAACCTTTTCAGTTCCAATTTTCCACTTTTCAGTTTCCGGGGAAGAATGTAAATTCTGTTTTTAGAGGAACATCTTTCTTTTTTCAAAACTTTAAAGAAAGATTCAAACGACAAAGAATTTTTAATATGTCCAACAAAACTATATTAAATTTCTGAAATTTCAAATTTACTGCTAGAACCATTTTTACAGTATGAGAAAATAAAAATTTGTTGAGCTAATCTTTACTATAGAATTTCATAACGTTGTACCAATATAGCAAAAGATTAAAAAAATCTTATCAAATCGTAGTGTTGTAAACATTCAGAAAAGTGTATTTGTTTTTTCAGGTTTTAGATGGTTACACTCACTTAAAGTGTTGATTAGCTCTTAAAGGAAATAAAAACGTCATCGAATTTTGATTGGTGTAAACTGTAAACGCATAAAATTCACAGTCATGACAGTAATAAGAAAGTTGGTTTTTATGTCAAGCGAGACACACTGATACATTTAAATGAAAATTTCAAATTGAACATGAGAATTTTCTCGTCTAAACATCATTATCATTTCTAGTATGTATCATCGATTGACATACTCGGTTTAATATCGCACCTCGAAAATGAAGCGTACAGAACCATTGAACTACCTTATTCAGAGTTTCCTGTAGACCCCTTGTGTTTGAAGGGAAAGAAACTGTTTAGGGGAGAGTACCTCATTGTTCCCGTTCCTAGTCTCATACAAATTCAAGCTGACAGAGTTGTAGGTGCTTCTTTCTTTCTTCTTTTTCTTCGTTTATCGCGACGAAATCACAACTAGCATTTATCGTTACTAGATTGATCTTTTTCGTAATTCCTTTGTAAAACGCTTTTTTTCTATCATAAATAATTTTCATACACGTTTCCTACCCGTACAGCCAAAAAAGTAAACAGAATGAAGTCATCTGGATTGCTGTGCGCGGTGTCCATACTGAAAGTGTTCATTTAAACATCTTTTTTTATTCTATGAAGAATCTTTATACATGTAATATAATTTAAATAGTTTACAGGATGAGATGATATCATGGAATTAATAGCTTTCTTTGTCCGTCCATTCTTTTTTTGGAGTTTTCTCGAGTTTTTTTAGGGGTCAACGTCAATTTTTAAGTAGGAAACGTGTATTTTTTCTGTTGTGTCTGGTAAAAGACGAAAATTACATTTGAATATATCTGAGGCCAGAAATTCAGATGACCTTGAGCACTAGAAATGCAATTAAATGTGAAACTATTACTGTGACATGTAAACTCCATAATTTATGTTTTTAAATTTTCGAAGTGGTATCGTTGATACTTAACGAAACAACAATAAAGTGCTTAGTGCAACAATTTATATTTGTCAACAGATATAAACAAGGTTTATTTCTCGGTTGACTGCGTAATGATGGTTAATGTATCGACAAGTTTCTCAAGATGGTTTGTTGTCCGAAACAGGAAAGGACTGAGCTTATTTAAATTTATGATGAAGCAAAACAGTGCACAAGGAAAGCTGTACAGATAACAACAAAGATCGATTTCCCAATCGCAACAATCTATCGCGTTCATGGTATACATCGTATACAGGTCTTGATTAGCTTTCTTGTAAGCTGATTATCGTTATATCGAAGATAAGTCACTTTTGAAATTAGGAAGATTGCACAACTGCAATTTACGATGTCTCCACTTATCAAATGATAATACGACACCTTAGCAAAGCGTCTAGAGGTGATTCAATTAAAAAAGAAATTGGACGGTGTGAAAAGGTTCACTCTTCGTATTTCGTAATACTCGTGTATTCATGAATTGTTTATATGGAAGTAAAAAGAAAAAATGTAAATAGGGTAAAGTACTTACTATTTTCACGATTTTAAAGGGGTAAAGAAAAGTACAAAAATATACAGCGTGACTTTACAAATTCTAGAGAGTTTGAGACGCAGGTTATCTAATCTGAAGACAAAATGAAATTTTATATTCCAACATGGCAATACAACTGTTTGTAGAGCGAAACTGAAAAATTTCAACTTCTAATTCACTAACAACATCTTCGAACCTCAATATTGTGAAAAGATTATAGAAGTATGCAGGACAAATAAAATTTACGCAGACTGAATTTAATGACATCGAATAAAATTTTCTTTTGTTTTCTGAAATGACATTATTATGATTTTTTATATTAAGCTATGTGAAAGAAATACATATTCCTAAAACCTATACCAGCTTTTCTTTCCAATATTTTGTTTCTTTTCCTACTGACAAAACGAATCCACGAAACGTATAATTACGTTTGCATATTTATAAATCATAAAGGAAGTTAATATTCACTGACGAGATGTGAGATTTTCGAATATCACTGAAAATAATGACAAGGATTCCGTACCTGATCAATTGTGGTCCAAAATAAAAAATCTTGCAAATACCATAATGCAATAATATAAAATAATGTTTGAAGCTTCTAACGGTAATATAATATTTATACATGTAAAGTACATACTGTTTACATATCAAACAAATGCTGTCTTTCCTTTTCATTTTTTATTTCTATAAATAAAACGTCATATTCTATAAATTTTCTTCAAGACAAGTCTGTTGTTTAGTTTAACGGTGAAAGGTTCACGGGTTCTGGTCACCAAGTGCGAAAATTACATTGATCTGAACATGAAATTATCATAAAAGTACACGGGAAAATCTTAAAAATTTTGGCAAAAATGTGACGGTAGTAAGTCACGCTAAATTCTCGAAAAGCGATGAGAAGTTAAGTAACACGGTTATACTACTTTGCATTTTACCGCTAGATCGATTGAACGAAACCATAATCATTCGCGGCACATAACCGCGGAGAATCGAATGAAGACAAGAGACTGTACACCTTCTGATTCAAAGAATCTGATAAACTGCATATAATTACGAGTCGAATCAAGGATTCGTCGCATCGCGTGTAAGATAATCTTAGTGAAGGGAAACTCGAACGCTGGTCGTCTGTTAATCGGTGCCCTCTCGGTAAAGCGTCCCCGAATCTCGGGGCGCAATAAACAGAGAGAGACCTACACTGACAAGAAGAGGTACTGTGGCCAAACAATGCTCTTTTCGGGGCATTCTTCCTGTAACCTCCAACCGAGGAACACCAAATTAACCCTTTGCACTCGAGAGGCGACTCGCAGTCGACAGATGAGTTGATACAGCAAAATTATAAACTTTGGTATTTACCATTAATCTTTGTATACTGCATCAATACGTGAAATATTGAAAGAAAATAGCTTTGGTACCTAATTTATGTATGATTTCTTGTTAAATTCATTTTAAAGAATGTTGTCTACATCTAATTAGAAAGAATACTTCAAGTGAAAAACTTTCGAGTGCAAAGGGTTAAAAAGAGTAATATTCGGATCAAATTTTTACCATTTCATTATTTAGCCCATAGAATCCTGTCTTACACACGTCTTTGACACTAGAACTACCGAGCATTTAATACGATTAATATGCAATCCCCATAAAAATTGTAACAATAGATTATTTTCAGTTTCTTCAGACATTCATTGTAGTACTCAAATGAAATTATTTATTTTCAAGATCATTTCGAATATTCAATGCTTCGAAGATATCAATAATTGCTAAACAAGTGTCTTGTGTTCTAGTGTTAACATCTGAAGATTCCGTTATAGAATAAGTGTTGAATTTTGTTTCCCGTGTTACGCCGTTTTATTTAAATATTATATAATATCGAGGCTTTATTCTAGTAATTGTATCTAGAATTGATCGTAGATAGAATTGTGATGTATTGTGATTGTGATTGAAAGGAAGAATCGAGTAGGACCACGTTAAGCGAGGATGAAAACAGGATGAAAACAGGCAGAAGTGAGAGAAGGTCTCCGTACAGATATAATAAAAACGTGGCAGCGGACCACGTGGTTCTCCGACGCCCGCGGAAGTGGGAGTGACTAAATCCGCCCTACACCTACGCGATACACAGCGTGAACAGTGTTGGGACAATCGTACGCAGGTCTAGCCCCTCGGGAAGGCTGACGAGTAGACCAATGAGCGCTCGCGCTTCCTCCTCGCTACGGAACTATGTACTCGAAAGTCGATTCGCGACACGTGAATTCGTCGATTCTTTGATTTTAAATACATTTCCCAATAATACAAATACCCGACCCCTCCGGTACCATTCAATTAGAAGCGTCTGAGCTTTACACGACAATTTACGCGGCAAGATCGTTGTGCTGTAACATTGTAACTCTAAAAATAACAGAAATAGCGTTCCGTGGTGGCTGTTAGGGATGTTTGCGAAATATCAGATGCAAAGTAAGGCGAAATGAAACGAAACTATGATATAAACTAATCCTCGGAATCTATAAGTTTCGAAGTAATGTCATACGTTCCACGCGTGTACACGGTAAAACGATGAAACAAAAGAAAGCTATTTCCACGGCGTATTTGACAAATCGTTAGGGTGTAACCGTAGCATTTCCGACTGGTCGAAGATCCAGGAAGCAGTGTCATGAATTCGGCTGACCACGAAGACAGTAAAATACAATAGAAAAGAGAAGACAGTCACAGGTAGGTACGGTTTGCGTAAACGCAGAAGCGAAGTAACAGGAGTTTCAGTCAGTTCCAGCTGTGCGGCGAGAGAGCACGTGGCGAGATTGTTCGCGAGTCTCTTCCTCCACCACCAGCAACCACCCCCACTTGACGTTGGTTGGCCGGTCAGGTGAAGAGTGTGCGCGAGTTGAGCCAAAGTGGCTCGTTACCACCACCACCACGTTTGCACGGACAGTAGCGGCACGGTAAACGATCGCGGAGGTTGCCGGACGCGTTGCTCGTACGTGCACCGTATTTCCGCCCGCCGGCTTGCCGTCCGTTCTTTGCTTAGTCGATCCGTTGGTCCGTTGGTCCGTTCGTTGTTCCCGGTAGCGGCAGTGGTAGAGTACACGTGGTCGCAGGTCTCGCGATAGTCGCGATACTCGGCCCGTGAGTCGCGGGCGGCACGACCTCGTCGTCGTCGAACGGGCGCCCTCGAGGCACGAGGGCATCGGCCGAAAGGAGGGAAGGCAAGAGGCCTTCCGCGCTCCTCGAGGATGCCGCCGCTTCCTCGTCGTCGCCGGCGACGTGGATGTACGCGCTTCTCGGTAAGCCCGCCTTACCCGAGTACCTCTTTTTCCTCGTTCGCATCGCCACGTGGTTGCAACGCGCAGACAACCCGCGAACAACGCGACCCAACCCCGCTCGTCGACGCTCTACCCGCTCGTTTGCCTAATTTTCGTTTCCCGTGACAGTGCCGAACGCGGCGCGCCGGTAACGAGTGTCGCTCGTCGAATGCGACGCGGATCAGAGCCAGACCCAACGCGGAACGGAGTAATTTCCAGTGCAAAGGGTTTACTCGCACGCGTCGGTTTTGTTTGTTGCGTATCAGTGATACGAGTGCACGCGCGTCCAGCCTAACTCGTAGCCGGCGCGTATGCATCGCACACGCGCAAGCATACGCACACACGCACAAGCATACGCACACATGCACCTGATTTCGCACGGTGACGCGTTCGCGCGGCGGCATTGCCGCGACAGTTATTTATCGGTGATCAGTGTTTACTCGTTAAACCTAACCCAGACCTTGAAGCCTTACTTGCACAGGCGAGCCGCGTGTTTGTTCGTTCGTTCGTTGGTCTATTCGGCTCCTTCGAGTCAATTTCGAGTTAATTCGAGTTACGAGTCATCGGTTTCCCACCAGTGATGTCCTGTGCATCGTAACCTGCATCGTAACGTATCGGAAATCTTCGTTCCGAGGACACCAATGATCGAGAGTCGGCGAATGGCAACCGAAGATGACAGTGCCAAGTTTCCATTGATTTTGATCATTTCGATCGGTAATCCAGTGAAGATATAGTGATAGATGTGTGGGAGAGAAGTGATTCCCTGATCATCGATGATTAGTGAACGATTCGGTGAATGATCCGCTGGCGTGTCAATGAATTTACGCATCGTTTCGCTAGGATAGATCTGCGCGCCTTTGGACCGGTTCGTCGAGCGTTTAAGGTACCCCTCCCTAAGTTCTTCAACGATCCGCGATACACATATTCTAATCTGATGCTTAAAAAATCAGTGGAAATTAATTACACCGAGATACAAAAGCGCGATGAGAAATATTTGCAAGGATAAAATCATCGCCGTTCCGAGTTGAGGGATTAGCATTATCTGCTATTGTGATCATTTTCAAATGTTCATTCTATCCAAATCAATGGACTTTGGTTTCTATATTACTATATAATTTTCACTTCCACCGGCAAGGTTACGAGAGTTGAATCATTTAAGTCATTTTCTCTAGATTTTTTTCTTCTTTTCATATTTCTCTGCATATTTCCATAATTTCTGGATATTCTCTTTTTCTTGTTTTCTTTTCCTGTTTCTCTTATATTTTACTCCTTTTCTTTTTCCTTCTCCTCCTCCTTCTCTTGTTTCTTTTACTTGTCCAGTGTACTTTTCTAAATAACTTTTCTTTCTGTCGGATAAGTATATCCTCCTCTTTTCGTTTTCCTAGTGTTTCTACTGTTTCCGCTAGTTGTCCTTTCAAAGTAACCGTTAAGACATTTCGCTGCAATTGCGGTAATAGTCTTTGATCGTTCGCTTCTAGTTTGATACGAGCCTGACACTATCTTCTTATCAGACTATTATACGCCAGCTATCAGTACCCGTTTTTCTCGAGCCTTCAAGGTGAATCGAATGAAAATGATTCGCGCGAGATTTTAGGGAAACGTTTCTCTCGTTGAGCGTTGCTGTTATCAGATTGAAGGACAGCTGACAAACGAGAACTATTGTTCTATTTATTGACTTATTAGATTTCGTTGTTGCCAGGAGAATTACTTGAACGCACTCGACGTAGCTTGCTTGACGAATTGACTCGTCATTGGTGCTCGTCCATATCTTCCAGTGGTTGCTCATTTTTCTATGCATTGGCTTACAGTTACTCAGATAATGGTCACCGCGATATCGAACTTTTTTCACAGCTGAATACTGGATAAATCAGTTGTACAAATATAATGAACGCTGACAAAATACTCTGTAATTTAGACTGCGCTTCCAGCGAGTTCAAACATGTCGCATATTTGTTAGTCTCTAAGAAAAGTTGTACCAGTAAAGTTGTGGAGAAGGAATGAAAATTCTGTTGCACCGGAATCAAGACTTGACTAAAGTACATTAACAACAAACCCGGAAGAAAGCTATTTACGATCAGACAAATCATTTCTCCTTTTCTATTGTACGTTTTACTTGTACTGGACCTAAGCGATTTTTTACGAATTGTATCCACGATACAGTGTTATCGTAATATTAATAGAGAAGAAATTTATTCTATTATTATAGAGAAGGAAATGTTGGTACGTTGGATGTCAGAGATATGATAAATTAGGCGATTTTGCCTTTTGTCGTTTCTCTTCACTCGTCGCTGACATTTTAACAGTTTTTATCGAGTTCGGACTATCCACGATTTAACTCGAGCTTTGTTCGTTGCGTATTCTCGAGAGATAAAATTGTATAAAAAGATCCATACGTCTCGTTTACGACTATTCTTCTGAACAACCTCCGATCAGAATTTTCGTTATCTTCGTTACACGTATAGTATCACTTCTTTAAATAGTGCAACCAGTTTCTCGAACTATTCAGTCTTCGGTAGCATTCACGATACTTGAAGTTCATTGATTTTTCGATATTTACTTCGTTGCCTTTTCGACACAATCTTAATTTATTTAGTAATGTATTTGTTCGTATATTGTAACAGAAAGTAAACAGTATCTTTAATATGCAGTAATTTGTTTGACGGTTGCCTTCTTGAGAAATGTGATTTTAAATCCGAAGGAAAATTTCTTCGATTGAAACGTGTCCTGAGTTGAACTCGCAGGAAGCTTGCTAGGTTATAAATTACAGTGGACGGACTGTTGTGATTTTTACGCACACCGTTTGCCGGCGTTTCTAACACGTGTCTCGACTCTAATTTGCTATTACGAGGCTCGTGACGGGACAAAGACGCCGCTGGTACCTACTTGATGATCTTTGCGCAAGGGAAAAGCCAATGAAATGTTTTCTGGAACCAGAAAAAATATTCATTACGAAGTTATAATCCGTAATGTTACGACATGGTCGGTAGTCATCGTTCACGTGTAATTTTCCTACTTCGCGAATCATCGGAACGCGTTGCTGATCGCAAATTATAATTGTTCGAATTTAGTAAGCGGTGTTAATGCAATTTTAATTTCCCCTTAGTATAAAGTATTGGATTGCACTACGAAAATGTTGTTTTTAATAGTCGACATCAAAAACTATGTATTACTAACTTTATTCGAAATATGCACCATAAACGTTAATGTAAATAGTTTAATTTTCTTCTGAATAAAATATTAACTGATATGTTCTGTTTTGATAATAATTAACTTTTTCTGATTTGATAGATTCTTTAGAACTCGTGACGCATACTTCGATTATATGCGCAAAGATTATTTATATATTTTGAAAATACGTATTATTCCTCGTGTTTCTTGCAACCTACAAAAATTCGAATTTTGTAGGACAGCTCGATACCACAATGAAACTCTGATTCTATCTTTATTCAAATTTAATTCTGCCTGTAGAGAATTTTAGGGAGCCACTAACTCTGTAAATATTTAAAACGTATAATCCCGTTAAAATTACAATTTAGAATACGAGATTATCGTTGATCCTCGTCAGCATATAATTTTACTACATTCCAATTATGTTTAAATATAAATAACGTATTCTTCTATCAATAAAAAAGTATTATGTAATCGACTACAGTTCAGTTCTTTAAAGGTTTCGAAATATGGTACAATGTATGGTATGTATCTCTTAACGCGAAACGTAGGGTTTCGTTGGATTCTCAGTTTTATACATTAATCCACAAAATTCATGGGAGTTTAAGAGAAGCGGTAAAATTGAAATACGTTGTAAACATATTTTAATATGCTGTACATGATTTTTCAGTTTCTGTAAATATTTGCCAATTGTTTTTGTAAATTGCTAATTGACGGATTTTCTGCAACTGTAACGGACTTGATTTTTAAAGTTCCTAACGTAAATGAAGTAGAAAATTTAGTAGTTACATTCTAGAAAATAATTATAGAAATTATAAACTTCCCATTAATATTTGAAAGATCTGAAAATAAATGTACGGATAAATATTACAATGGTAATATTGGAAATTTCACTAGATCAACAAAACGTAAAGTAAAATAAGTGTTCAAAATTGTTTTTGTCTCGCTTACGTGACATTGACCATTAATTATCGCTTGGATGAAGTCACATTCACGTGACGCTAACTCTCGATGCCACAAAGTACGGGAACCAACATCTCGAATCTCTCTGTCTAACTACCTCTAAGATCGTTTCAATAGCATCGTTTCTATTTAAATATTCATACATTAATTATCGAACTTCGCCATTGCAGTCTCATATAGTATTAACCCTTTGCGGACGAAGATTCTCTGAAATATACAAAACCCTCGACAGATGAAGCTAAATTATATAACAATTACTTGAACAATAGAAAAATAGGAAACTATGAGACTATGAAAATTTGTTTACAACTTAGACTTCCAAATATGAAAATTTCATCTCGTCGAAATGTCGACATTTATCCGCAAAGGGTTAAACGGTTTTCAACTTAGCAGTATTGAAGTATTCGGATCTTTTCTGAAAGTATTGGATTGTCGTGTACAGGTCTGTTCGGCCACTTGCCCGTACGGGCAGCCCGTAATGCCGTCGCGGGCAAAGGTGATTGTTTTGTGTACTACTTTGTAAGTATGCGATAGCGATCACCCGCCTTAACACATTACGTACCGGTAACGAGAAATCTCGTTTTTATATAAAGACACTTAGCTATGCAACTTCGCTAATTACCACAGCATTGAAAAAACTATAAAATTTAATTCGAATTGATTATCTATTTAAAATATATCACATAACAATATGATATCTGAGTTTTTCTATGTATAGTGATGCAAGTTGACCTCAGTGAAAATTGCCATCCGCACAATTCAGTTTTCTGAAAATTAGCCGGTACGCGATGTGTTAACCTGTTAACAGTGGAATATAATTTGAAAAATCTCTTGTTTTGCGCGTAATGAAATGAAAAAATGAAGTATGTATATACTCGCCAAACGCAGGACGAATGCAGCCAGGGTGTATTTTGATAAAAAACCAAAGCAAAACAAACGCTGAAACGTTGAAACTTGAAACTTGAAACTTGAAACGTCGTTAACTGGTTAACTCTTTGCACTCGAGAGTTGACTCTCAGTCGCCATTTGATTGAATAGTACAAAATTACAAAGTGTTATATATAATATTAACCCTTTGCGGACGAATGTCGGCATTTCGGCGAGATGAAATTTTCATATTTGGACTGCTAAGTCACAAGCGGGTGATTTAATTACTCGAATAGCAAGAAGTCAGTACGTAGTTTCCTTTTTTCAATTATCTAAGCAATCGATATATAATTTAGCTTCATCCGCTAAACGTTTCCTGTACTTCGAGGGATCTTCGTCAAAGGGTTAACTCTTATATAATGCATTAATATGTGAAATATTTATATAAAATAGCTTTGCTTTTTAATTTACGCATGCTTTCTCACTAATTCGTTTCAAATGGTATCGTCCATGTCTCATCGGAAAGTGTCGAATGTTTCTAGTGAAAAGCTTCCGAGTGCAAAGGGTTAAGGCTGTGACGCGCGGAGACTGACACAGGTGTATCCCCCCGCTTTGGGAAAGTATACCAGTGGCTTTACCTAAAGCTCTACCCGTGGGTAACCTCGGTTGCCCTTGCCCGCGAAAAAACCTGCTGAACGGGCCCGGTCTCGTATCTCGGACTGTCGGCCGCGGCTGCATTTACATAAGTACTTGTACGACTTCGGTCTTCCACCGGTTGAATCATCGACCATACAAGCTCCGATCGTGCGTATTCGTTGAAAAGTTTGGTCATTTTTCTGTAACCGGTGTCGAATTATTCGTCGATGACGGTGCTGGCCTCTTTCGCGCGATCGACACAGCGCCATTCAAACTAATCGGTTCTGAACCGATTACGCTGACGATACGTTACTTGTCGGTTATGTAATCATGAACGCCGCTTTCCCCGCCAAGCGTGGAAAATTTCGCGATATCCGAACGCATTTTAAGTTACGTAACTGCAACACGAATTCGAAACATTTTCGAACGATCTGGCGCGCTTGCAAATTCGTGCTTGAATAAATCCGCTAAATTATTTATGAGGTCTTGCGCGCGTTACAAGTCCTCGTTGAATTTTCCTTAACAATGGTACGGTTATACTATAACATTTCTGCGCGTTGAACGTTTCCACGGAAGAGTATGGTTCTATCTTGCCCGTCTTCTCAGAAGATTTTTCACGTTTTCACGTTTCCACGCTACCGCTGCCGGCCACAGTCACGATCATGTGATAATACCAGGAAGCTTTACCCAAGATTCCGTGTGCTGATCATACCATACGAACGTTAATAACAGTCTCGATTCTACTTCAATCTAGTATCTAGTAATTTACAGTAGTAAAAATTACACTTCTGCGCCATTTAGAAGCGGTTTCATGTTTGCTAATAGATATTTAAAATAATGGCGTTAATAAGCATTAGAGCAAGTAATAATAATAACACTAACCATAATAAGTTACATCAACTTTCATAGACGTTCTTCCGTGAGCGACTAGCGAAATGTCATAAAAATATGAAATTATCTGCCAGTCGGTGCACGATTCGCCATAGATCACATTGATTAGCTATTCCTTCGCCGTCAATTTGTTAGTCGGCTGACAACGAGTAAGCGATTGCGACCGTCGAGTGGTTGTCTTCGCAACCACGTGTCATGTTGTCACTACGAAAATTGAATTACCTTCTGACATATGAATTGCCTATGTTTTTATTTTTATTTGTAAATACAAAAAGTAGTTACAATAATCGTACACATTACCAATCATAGACATCGATTCTGGGTCGTGTATTCGACATATCTTCACATTCTTACGCACAGCCATCGACAGGGTTTTTTT